GGGGGCCGCCCACCGAAACGCGACCGTCACTGGAATTTCGGCAAATTTACCCAGAAATCGGCCTCCGCCCGGGATATAGAGGACTCGCCGGGAGCGAGCGCCGCAGTCGACAAAATTGTCATTTCTATGGGGGGTTGGGGCTCCTCCCGAGTAAAAACGGGGCCCCGCCGCCGGGGGGCTCCCTGCTTTGGCCCCCGCCCTTGGCCCGCCCTGAGGACCCCGACCCCTGCCCGTGCACTGGGGTCCGTTGGCAGAGGTGCCTCGGGTCCGTTGGCAGAGGGGGGGAACTTTGTCTTTTTTTTTGAGATTTTTTTTTTTTTTCCCCCCCCCCCCCCCCCCCCCCCCTTGATGTACGGTACGGGCAGCTTGCTGTTTGTGAGTGCAACTGTCCGTTCATTTTTTAAAATTTGTTAGATTATTTTTAAGTTTCTATTTTTATTTAAAATTTATTTATTTTTCTTTACAGATCAGAAGAAAAAAGAAAACCCTCCTATTTTGTGGGAGCTCTCCTAGGATAACACCCAAGATGCACACACACACAGACACACACACACAGACACACACACACACACATAGACACACACACACACACACACACACACACACACACACACACACATACACACGCATACACACATACATACACACACACACATGCACGCACACATCCTCTCCTTTTAGCATATCTTTGCACATAAGCGTAGTAATGCGCAGTCGAATGCACACGCACTGGCACACACACGCACGCACGTACGCACGCACGCACACACACACACATACACACACACACACACACATACACACCACACACATACAAACACACACACACTCACACACAATGTGCGCCCATATGTGTGTACAGAGAGAGAAAACTCGTAACCCCAAGACTGAGGACGGAGCAGCTAAACGTAGAGATACTAGGCCGCTTTTCCCTTCACATTCCTTATACCTCCATGCACGCCGCAACCCCGAGAAAGCCTCTGTCTACTTTCTCTCTATCCTGACGAGCTGGCCGCTGATTGGTCCGTCGTCTGCATACCATATACCTCCCTAAGAGAAGGGGTTCTGTCGATCCGAGCAGTGCGTGCGAGGTGGAAGAAAAGTTGCAAAAACTGTCATGGCGGACTTTTCAGCCAACCGACGGTCTCCATTCCGAAAAATTCGCAAACGGAGAGCGGTGGTTGGCTGGAAAGTCCGCCATGACAGTTTTGGCTCCTATTTTTCGTACGCTTCGCCTCGCTCTGTCTCCCTCAGTATAAAAGGTGCTGGCGTCGCGCTGAACAGGCAGTTCTCAGTTCTCACAAATTAATCAGTCATCATGTCTGGTAGAGAGAGAGAGACCCGCTGTCCCTCTGTGTGTTGCCGCGTGTCCACTCGTGTGCTCCTTTGTGCGCTGTCGTGTGTCCCTTCCTCCGTGTGGTCAGTCGTGATATGGATATTGGTAGGGTAAGTTGATATTTTCTTGCTCCGGTGGGATGTGTTGCGTTGCGTTGTGATTGATGTGTTGTAGCAGTGATTTGTTATTGATGACGATGTGATTGGAATACTAATAGTGATGTGATATCGATTGTGTTGGGATATCGAGGCTTTGCCGGGAATTGTCATTTCTATCGGGAAATTGGCCTCCTCCCGAGTAAAAACGGACAGGGGATCGCAGTTTGCCCCGGCCGCCGGGAGTGCCCATAGTGCCCCGCAACAGTGCCCCGACCCTTGAGAGATCCGACAGCCGGTGGCTGCTTCGCTTGCGCCCCGGCCCTAGGACGCCGACACACGTGCGTTGGGGTCCGTTGGCAGAGGTGCCTTGGGTCCGTTGGCAGAGGTGGGAACTTTGTCTTTTTTTTTCGATGATTTTTTTTTTTACACGCACACACACCAAAGCACTCACCCCTTTCCTGTTCAGTATTTTTGTTTCTCACCCTTACCGCCGGACAATCTTGCCCGCCAACAACATCAACTCTATTTGTGTAAACACACACACACACACACACACACACACACACACACACACACACACACACAATGAGAGAGATACACGTGCATGCACACACATACGCACTAATTGACTACCCATAGCCCATGCTCACACTTGTACGCCTATCCTTCACCCCCAGCCCGCAACCAACATCAACTCTATTGTTGTGAACAAACATACAGCACACAACTGCTCTGTATGCATTAGGACTATTACTATATCACCCTGTGCATCTGTCCGTGTTTCTCCACTGCACTGTAGACTTGTAAAAGGAAAAAGGAGAGACGGAGATAGAGAAGCAGACAGTTAACTTCTAATTCTAATCATGTTATTAGTAATTACGGGGAACAACCAATCAGATCGTCATCAATAACAAATCACTGCCACGACACAACAATCACAAAGCAACGCAACACATCCCAACCGGAGCAAGAAAATATCAACAAACCCTACCCGTATCCATATCACGACTGACCACACGGAGGAAGGGACCCACGACAGCACAAGGGAGCACACGAGTTGACACGCGGCAACACACAGAGGGGCAGCGGGTTTCACTCTCATTCTGTACCTGCCTCTGCCAGCGGTTTGCGCTTTATATATTTAAGGAGGCACAACCAACAACAACAACAACAATAATCAATACACACACAGAGGTGGGGTGGGGCGGGGGACAACAACACATAACTCAGCAAAGTAACAGCATCAATAGGGAACTCGGTTTGGTCCTGAAAAGGACCGTTCGTTTCGTGGGCCGGTGATCGCTGTTTTTCGCTGGATGAACCAGATGAGAAGTGAGCTCGCTTAGGCACGCTCTCCACGGATACATCTTGCCAACTGGATGTCCTTGGGCATAATCGTCAAACGCTTGGCGTTGAAGGGGCATAGGCTGATGTCCTCAAGCAGACCCACGAGGTATGCCTCATACAGAACCATGACGCAAGACTTCTGCAGAGTCATTACGGCAGAGCTCTGGAACCGCAAGTCGGTCTTGAAGTCTTTTGCAATCTCACGAACAAGGTGTTTGAACGACAACGTGCGGGTCTCAAACGACGGATAACGACGGATCTCACGCAGAGCCACGGTACTGGGCCTGTAACGATGAGGTTTCTTCACACCTCCGGTGGCAGGGGCCGACTTACA